ACCATCCGATCCGACTGAATCACGTCGGTTTTTTTCTTTTGATGCCCGGGTAAGAATTCCGACTGCCTTGCAAATCAGTCAAACTGACTGCACCTATTCTTTTAAAAAAACGCACAGTCGTTGCTCCATTCCGGGACATGCATCGCCAACTACGCACGCGCCTCATTAAAGAATACTCAATATAATCAGAAAGCAGAATTTTCTATGAATATCTCATCCATAACCATTCTGTATCAGCCCACCGTGCGGTTAATTACCGTGGTCGATTACAGGCTTGCCTTCGGGGGCTGCACTCCACCGAAGCACCTCTGCTTAATTTATCGGGCGACGCGCTAAGCATTCGAGATCAGCGGTTCCACCCAGCGATCCACACTTAATTTCTGCCAGTTGTCCGCGCGATCTCTGCGATATTGGCATCATCAGGATTTAAATTCGCAGACCTTCCTCTAATCCAACGCCGCCCGGATACCCTTTGTATGGTCGCGGCCGCTAAATTGTCTCATTTATTTCGGACCATTGAGGCTGCAAATGCGGCAATTTATGTTTGGCACCGTTTGTGGGATCCGAGCAGATGGTACGCCTCCAGCACGGAGGTGCCCTGAAATATCGCCACACACCAATCTCGCTCATGATTTACCGGCGCGTATGCAGATGCGGCGTTTTATAAGCCCACTGCGCTCATATTTTGTTTGTTAGTATTCATACGGCAGTTCGTAACTCATTAATTGTGACGCGTGGGATTCGAAGGAGTCCAACTTTAAATATGGTAACATTAGCGCGATGAATACAAAGCGGAACTATTTCGCCGACAGACTCATCAGACGGTCCTGTTTTTCAAGTGTTTAGATGACTTTTGCTGTCGGGTGGGAAGCTGAAAATTTCACACCTAGCTCAGCTTCAGAAAGCTGAGTGGGACCGCGCTCAGGCACTCCAGTATGATGATGATATTAGTGTTCCCCATTATTGGTATCTGGTTCGGTGCGGTGTCCCAATCACTGTCGACTTATTTCAAAGACTAGATTGCTAGGGTCCGTTCATCCCACTGATTGGTGGATCGTAGTTACTAAGGAAAGCCCTCTGACAGAAAAATAATGCCTCGTGAAATGTAGGCCGAGGATGGAGTATCTGATGTGAATGTTAGCTGTTTGTTTCCTGTGCAAGGCAAATGCGTATCATCATTGCCACCTTGGTTTATTCCATCGGTCGATCACATAGAGACAAACCATAAGCACATGATTTAATGGCAGGATATTTTGATCATGGGAGAAAGCAAAAGCCTGCCCCAGTTTGCTTTATTCGCAGTAGTGGGTGGACGGCAAAGGAATAGATTCATTCGGGTCCAGTTTATTGCTAAGTACTTTACGGACACATTGGGACAGGCAGATCTTCCAACAGGTCAAACGTTTGCGCCAGGTCTAAGACGGACGCTATACATTTTAAGTCCAGGCAGCACCAAAGAGGTGCTGTGAGCTCTGCGCCTCGCGCTGCTCTGAGGCAGCGTTAAAATTATTTTCGTTTATTTTCGTTCGAGTTCGAAATATGAAGGCCATCGAGGTTAGGAGTGTGACTGAAGATGACAATATTTGCAGTGGAAATCCAGGTGGCCATGTGAAACGTACGTGATTCATGGGCACTAAACTTCCGCGAATTTGCGGGCTCCAGGGATGACACGCTCCCTGTGGGCGTTCGCAATAAATGCTGGGGCACCTCGCACCCGGCCGCTCAGCTCCGCTCTCCGGTGGCCGTTGGTGTGTGCACAGCGGCACAGTATGCGTTTTCCGACGCAGTGGCTGCGTAAGACGCTGGGGTACACACGTGGTCGTGCTTTGCGCGACGGGCTGCAAAAATGTGACATAATATACCGCATTAGAGGACACGAAATGGCAATTGCGACGTCCCTCTCATATTCTCATAGGACACCAGGCCATCGCCCGCAGTGGTCAGGCCAGATGTGAGTCGTGCAGGACTGCCGGATGACGAATTTCCAAGGTGTGTCATCGCAATGGCCGCTTCCGTACTCGTTGAACGCCTTAACTTCAGACTCACATTCGGCGGCCGAGTAAAGTTGGTTTTATCCACAGCTAACTTCCTCTCGGGAAGGCTTTCCTGTGCCGGAAATCGCCGCCACTTATCCCCCACGACACAATCTGTCGCATTAAATCCCGCAACCGACACAACCGTTGTTTACTCGTCGTCCTGATTCATTCCCTCTCCGAATAACTCAGCCGAGCCACCGCACCAGAGGCGCTCCACGCGTCTCATCTGCGCGCTCAGCTATCCAGACATCTGCCAGCCGGAGCACGACCCGTGCCAACGCGCGCGTGCCCGCTGTCGGCGCTCCGTGCCGCGGGGCATCGGGCGCCGATGGCGCTCTGATTACGGCGACTCGGCTGCCGTCCGTCGGCGGCGCGTCGCCGGTGGCCGGCAGCCGCTCAACACGTGGCATCGTCGCCGCTCCGCCGCGGCCGCAGCCACCATCGCCGCCGCCGCCGCCGTCGCCGCTGCGCCCGATAAAGGGCCGGCTGTATAATTGAGTCGGCGTGATTGAGTTTTGTAAATGTTCCCCGGGGCGTTTTGGCGCCGCTATCGGCGAGCCGTCATAATGTGCGGCTTACATTTTCTGGTTATTATACGGTATTGAGGGAGCGCCGACGGCGATTAGGAGTGCGATAGCGGCGCCGGATTAGACGGAGCCGCCGGCAGCCGACGTGAGACGCTCCCGCTGATGGGACTGCCGACCGGCGCGCCAGCGGGCCCACGGACGGCGCGGACTGGGCTACAGACGGCGCAGCGGGTTCACAGGCGGCGCGGACCGGCCTACAGACGGCGCGGACTGGCCCACAGACGGTGCAGACTGGCCTACAGACGGCGTAGCGGGTTCACTGACGGCGCGGTGGGTTCACAGACGGCGCGGATGGGTTCACAGACGGCGCGCGTGGGTTCACAGATGGCGCGGGATGGTTCACAGACGACACAAAGGGTTCAGAGACGGTACGGACTGGCCCACAGGCGGGTTTACTGACGGCGCGGTGGGTTCGCAGACGGTACGGCGGGCTCACAGACGGCGTCGTGGATTCACAGACGGCGTGCGCGGGTTCACAAACGGCGCGGGATGGTTCACAGACGGTGCAATGAGTTCACAGGCGGCGCAAAGGGTTCAGAGACGGCACGGACTGGCTCACAAACGGTGCAACGGGTTCACTGACGGTGCGGTGGGTTCGCACAAGGTGCGGTGGGCTCACAGACGGCGTGGCGGATTCACAGACGGCGCGCGTGGGTTCAAAAACGGCGCGAGCTGGTTCACAGACGGCACAACCGGGTCACAGACGGTGCGGATTGACCCACAGACGGCACGGTGAGTTCACAGGCGGCGTGGACTAACCCACAGACGGCGCGTTGGGTTCACAGACGGCCCGGACTGACCCACAGACGGCACGGTGGGTTCACAGACGGCTCGGACTGACCCACAGACGGCACGGTGGGTTCACAGACGGCATGGATGGGTTCACATACCGCCCAGACCGACCCTCAGACGGTACGGTGGGCTCGCAGACGGCGTGGATGGGTTCACAGACGGCACGGTGGGTTCACAGGCGGCGCGCACAGTGGCCTAACCAGGAATTCGACCAGGACGGGGCAGGTGGGGTTACAGGAGGCTCTACCAGCCTAGGGACCCTCGTCGCCGCTTAAGCCCTGTCTGCCAAAACGGTCCCTGTTTGGTATTGAGTAAACATGTTTATGCACGGGATACTATTTTGATGCCTCGGGGATAAGTTTTGTATTTCGGAAGCCGTAAGGGGTTTTCAACTGCCAGCATGTGCGGGGTCCCCGCCAAAACCAGGTAGGGAGGAGGGTCAGAACAACTCCCTCCCTTTGCTACGTCACAGCCGTGGTATACATCAGTAAGGCTGCGACACGAAGACCTGATAGTATCCCGCAGATACAGCCTTATTCAAGGCAACGAGGAGCTAACGGCACCACCCCAGGGATGACCTTATTCAAGGCGGCGGGGGGGGGGGGGGGGGCTAACGATGTCACCTGGGGGATGGTGTTATTCAAGGCAGCGAGGGGCTGAAGGCATCACCTCAGGAATGACCTTGTTCAAGGCAGCGAGGGGCTGAAGGCATCACCTCAGGAATGACCTTGTTCAAGGCAGCGAGGGGCTGAAGGCATCACCTCAGGTATGACCTTATTCAAGGCAGCGAGAGGCTGAAGGCATCACCTCAGGAATCGGCTCAAATTGTCACTCAGTTGCTGCAACGCTGCAGGAATTGGATTTCGAAACAAAATCCTGCCTTCCTTACAACAGATACAGTTCAGCAACGCACATCATACGTGCTGTGCATCGTTGAACTGTGTCTCTGTAACGTGGTATACTACGAATTTTTGTTTCGTAAGCGACGTTGTGAAGACGCAAATGAACAATTGTTAGTGCTCTATTTTGGCTGGAACAAATGGCCGAATTACGAAATACAGTCCAGCCGACCACTGTGGTTGAGATTGAAGACGAAACACGTCCGTTGGGCATGGTGATAAAAATGGAGGTCTTCGCGTTTATCATGTTTGTACTTCATCCACCACTGCCGTTGGGGTCTGGACTCACGGTTTCGCCACCGTTTCCTACTCTGCCTTACCTGCCCGCTATCCGCCCATCTGCTGCTTCCAAGGTTGTAATCATGCATTTGAGGAGAGGTATAGGAGCTATGCTTAAAAACTCCATAGATTTGCTCTGATAACTGCAAAGGACACGTGAATACGGCTGGCAATGACAGCAAAGAAGACCGACCGACAATACTTTGCGACATCTCTTGAAACAGCTAACGGACATTTGTAGGAATCATCCCGCTTACGTGGTTATACCCCTAATTTTCATCAAACTTCGACCCAGCCCAGTCGTTAACCGCTTCATTCGGCCACCTACGGGCTGACCAGACTCGTGAGGGCCTCTCAGCCGCAGCTGGTGTTCGGCCGATGACGCACCGGCGTGGCTCGCGCCGCAGGCTGTTCGGCAGCACCGGCTACTGCTCCGCCTGCAACAAGGTGATCCCGGCCTTTGAGATGGTGATGCGTGCCAGGAACAACGTCTACCACCTGGAGTGCTTCGCCTGCCAGCAGTGCAATCACAGGTGAGGAGGCCACAGCGCACGTTGCAGCCACAGGTGAGGCGGTCACAGTCCGTTCCAGCTGCAGTGTAGACCGACGCTCGGGGCTGCGGCTGTATTGGCTGCCAGGGTGACCGATACGGAGATAAGTTATGTTGTGCGCCCAGATCTTGCATGCCGTTCTGGTAGGTTCGGTTGTTGGCATTTCATACATGAAACGTGGATGTGAATGCTGTCGAGGGCTTTTAACGTTCTTTCTTCTGGCCGATGGCTCAGGATTGAGAATGACTGCTGCTTTTGTGGTTTATTCCAAAGTGGGCTTTGACTGATTTTTAGGCGAACTTGGAGTCACTGTTAGCACTGGGAATCAATATCGTCGCTAGATTTAGATTGCGTCACCGCACAAGAGTTCAAATGTGATTACCTGGCCATTACTATGCTCGGCTGACCAGGATACCTACCTTTAGTTCAAACCCAACATTTCTCATTCAACGCAACGTCAGGGGATCGCACTTCCAGGAATGAATGGGGCCACCAGTCCTGGACTTCTTTGGTCGCAGTCGCCTGCTGCAGGTCGTTGCTTCACGCCTTCATGTCTACCCTCATTCCAGGTTTTGCGTGGGGGACAAGTTTTACCTGTGCGACAACAAGATCCTGTGCGAATACGACTACGAGGAGCGGCTGGTGTTCGCGTCGATGACGTTCAACCCAACGGCTATCGCGCACATCAAGCGCTCTACTTCCCACCTGCCGGTAACTGCCTGTTGGGCGCTGCCCCGTCGACAGCCCTGTGACCAGGGACGGGACAGGCCGCTCCACCGCCGTACAGCCCTGTGACTAGGGACGGGACAGGCCGCTCCACCGCCGTACAGCCCTGTGACTGGGGACGGGACAGGCCGCTCCACCGCCGTACAGCCCTGTGACTAGGGACGGGACAGGCCGCTCCACCGCCGTACAGCCCTGTGACCAGGGACGGGACAGGCCTCTCCACTGCCGTACAGCCCTGTGACTGGGACGGGACAGGCCGCTCCACCGCCGTACAGCCCTGTGACTGGGACGGGACAGGCCGCTCCACCCGCCGTACAGCCCTGTGACCAGGGACGGGACAGGCCTCTCCACTGCCGTACAGCCCTGTGACTAGGGACGGGACAGGCCGCTCCACCGCCGTACAGCCCTGTGACTAGGGACGGGACAGGCCGCCTCCACCGCCGGTACAGCCCTGTGACCAGGGACGGGACAGGCCGCTCCACCTGCCGTACAGCCCTGTGACCAGGGACGGGACAGGCCTCATCCACTGCCGTACAGCCCTGTGACCAGGGACGGGACGTGCCTCTCCACTGCCGTACCGCTCTGTGACCAGGGACGGGACAGGCCTCTCCACTGCCGTACAGCCCTGTGACTGGGACGGGACAGGCCGCTCCACCGCCGTACAGCCCTGTGACCAGGGACGGGACAGGCCTCTCCACTGCCGTACAGCCCTGTGACCAGGGACGGGACAGGCCTCTCCACTGCCGTACAGCCCTGTGACCAGGGACGGGACAGGCCTCTCCACTGCCGTACAGCCCTGTGACTGGGGACGGGACAGGCCGCTCCACCGCCGTACAGCCCTGTGACTGGGGACGGGACAGGCCGCTCCACCGCCGTACAGCCCTGTGACTAGGGACGGGACAGGCCGCTCCACCGCCGTACAGCCCTGTGACTGGGGACGGGACAGGCCGCTCCACCGCCGTACAGCCCTGTGACTGGGGACGGGACAGGCCGCTCCACCGCCGTACAGCCCTGTGACCAGGGACGGGACAGGCCGCTCCACCGCCGTACAGCCCTGTGACTGGGGACGGGACAGGCCGCTCCACCGCCGTACAGTTCTGTGACTGGGGACGGGACAGGCCGCTCCACCGCCGTACAGCCCTGTGACTGGGGACGGGACAGGCCGCTCCACCGCCGTACAGTTCTGTGACTGGGGACGGGACAGGCCGCTCCACCGCCGTACAGCCCTGTGACTAGGGACGGGACAGGCCGCTCCACCGCCGTACAGCCCTGTGACTGGGGACGGGACAGGCCGCTCCACCGCCGTACAGCCCTGTGACTGGGGACGGGACAGGCCGCTCCACCGCCGTACAGCCCTGTGACTGGGGACGGGACAGGCCGCTCCACCGCCGTACAGCCCTGTGACTGGGGACGGGACAGGCCGCTCCACCGCCGTACAGCCCTGTGACTAGGGACGGGACAGGCCGCTCCACCGCCGTACAGCTCTGTGACTAGGGACGGGACAGGCCGCTCCACCGCCGTACAGCCCTGTGACTAGGGACGGGACAGGCCGCTCCACCGCCGTACAGTTCTGTGACTGGGGACGGGACAGGCCGCTCCACCGCCGTACAGCCCTGTGACTAGGCACGGGACAGGCCGCTCCACCGCCGTAACAGCCCTGTGACTGGGGACGGGACAGGCCGCTCCACCGCCGTACAGCCCTGTGACTGGGGACGGGACAGGCCGCTCCACCGCCGTACAGCCCTGTGACTGGGGACGGGACAGGCCGCTCCACCGCCGTACAGCCCTGTGACTGGGGACGGGACAGGCCGCTCCACCGCCGTACAGCCCTGTGACTAGGGACGGGACAGGCCGCTCCACCGCCGTACAGCTCTGTGACTAGGGGACGGGACAGGCCGCTCCACCGCCGTACAGCCCTGTGACCAGGGACGGGACAGGCCGCTCCACCGCCGTACAGCCCTGTGACTAGGGACGGGACAGGCCGCTCCACCGCCGTACAGCCCTGTGACTAGGGACGGGACAGGCCGCTCCACCGCCGTACAGCCCTGTGACTAGGGACGGGACAGGCCGCTCCACCGCCGTACAGCCCTGTGACCAGGGACGGGACAGGCCGCTCCACCGCCGTACAGCCCTGTGACTGGGGACGGGACAGGCCTCTCCACCGCCGTACAGCCCTGTGACCAGGGACGGGACAGGCCGCTCCACCGCCGTACAGCCCTGTGACCAGGGACGGGACAGGCCGCTCCACCGCCGTACAGCCCTGTGACTAGGGACGGGACAGGCCGCTCGACAGCCGTACAGCTCTGTGACTAGGGACGGGACAGGCCGCTCCACTGCCGTACAGCTCTGTGACTAGGGACGGAACAGGCCGCTCCACCGCCGTACAGCTCTGTGACTAGGGACGGGACAGGCCTCTCCACCGCCGTGCAGCTCTGTGACTAGGGCAGGACAGGTCTCTCCAGCACCGTTAGCTAAGCACAGAACGCTGACCTGTCACCACCAGGCAACGGATGATAGAGTGATCCACCTCCCACCTGACGGAGACACCAACTAGCGATGGTTGCTTGCCAGTGGTGTTTACCTCCTAGGCGACCCTGCTACTTGCCGCTGAATGGGCAACGTTGCGTCTTGGTGACTTGTTCCATCTCATTTGCCTTTGCATCCTTGCTTGGAATGGCCTTGGTCCTGGCCTTGGTCAGACAAACAGCCGAGGTTATCTTGGCGCAAGTGTCCGGCAAACCGTCAAACTACCCAGTTCCGCCACGCGGACGCTTCTGCCGCAGTGTCCGACGAGCGTGGCGGGCGGCGCGGTGAGCGGGCAGCCGCAGCGGCCAGCGGCGGTGGCGACGCAGTACGGTGGAGCGGCGGCGGGCGGCGCGGCGCGCCCCTCCCAGCCGGCCGAGGTCACCTCGCTCAGCAGCGGCTACGACAGCCCTGACTCGCCGCTGCTCGACAAGTGAGCGGCGGCGCGGCGCGGCTGGAGTCGGCGGGACGCGCTGGTGGGTGCTGCTGACGACGGCGCCGGCTGATGGCGCGGCGACGTCCTGGGGCGCGGTGCTTCGTCGCTCCACCGGGGTCTGGTGTCGGTGTGCACAGGCCGACGGCGGCACCCTCAAGGCGGTGTCGGGAGCGCACGCGCGCTGGGCCCGGCCGACTGTCTCATGAGGCGGGTAGTCAGAGGTGGGGGACCTTGCGGACCTCTCGCCTGGCTAAAAGGATCTCAAGATTATGTCGCTGCCTGGCCAACACCGTTCTCGTGCTGACTGTCACGAGTGGCCGCGTGTGTGAAATCCGAGCTTGACTGGCGTTGGGGTTGACAGAATCGGTGCTAATTGCAGTAAGATGGAGGCGGAACCATAAGCATATGCGACAGCGGTGACAAGCAGTGCACGTACGTGGAAAGCTTAAAAAGGGAAAGGAAATCTCTTTGATGATAAGTGCGATGTCCATATCACACCTCTCACGCAGTAGCGGCGGATTTAAGGAACAGGTTGACCTATCCCTCATTCCACCCTTAGCAAATTTATCATTATTCCCGTGGCGTCGCATGGACAGAAACGTCGTAAATGTCGTGCTTGTCTCTCACTCTCAACTCCTCAGTGGATTCATCGACTACAGATCTCACACACAGCTTACATACCACCGCAGGCTCAGGAAAAATGGCTTGTTTCTCTCGCTGTGTCTGTTGCGGCCTGCTGCGGAGAGATATGTTGTTCTTCCACAATTCCGGCATTCCATCACCAACCGATGATCTCTTCCGAAAAAGCGCCGAAGAAAGTTATTGTTATGATGTACGAATATGAAGGCGATCTTCACTGAGCTCGATTTGATGGGAGCTTGGGCGCAAATCCATTGAGTTTGATTTTGTAAGTCGTGGTAAATATTGCGTCGAACGATACATCTGTGATGTTACATGCATAGCCATGTTCATCATGGCGTCATTTTTGACTGAAATCTGGTTACCGGGCCATCTGACGGAAGAACAAGGAGCAATGTCAACGAACCCCCCCCCCCCCCCCCCCCTCCAGAGTTTAAGATTATTTTACTCTGAGACGTTGGATGCAAAGAAACTAGATTCAAATCGCTTTCCCCACCTTTAAATGTTTAGAAGATCCACTGCCAGTCATGTCACACACATCAGAGATTCGACGGGTCTAAAGAAATCAAGCCATATCGTGATTAGGAAAAGCCGAGCTTCCCCATGCGTCGACTGCGTGAGATGCTCTTGACATCGTTTACCAATATCCATGTTTTAGAGGTGTAGGCTGCAGGTTGAAGCTAATATTTTCCGTTTACACTTACACTGTGAGTGATACTAGGCAAACTAATGGCTCGGAAAAGGGCTTTGTTTGCATAGGTATAAAAGCATTTATGGCTTAGGTGTGACGTTGATTGTAATTGGGATTGGCACATCGGGTTTCCTCTATCCTGCTGGGTCCTTCAAAACGTCCCGATGGTTTTTCTCGTCCTCACTCTTTAATTTCGATCAAATGTGCTTCAGATGAGTAAAGAGCGCGGGCGCGCCGAAGCCAGCAACCGAGTTTGGCTGGCTCCGGTTGGCATTGGTTCCCGAGCCGCAGCGGTGGCGGACGCGGGAGGCGCACGCTGGTCATGCCTCCGTGAATGACTATGGTCTGGGTCAGATCGTCGCGTCACCAAGGCCGCCACATCCGTATCAACGATTGCGCGGAACCTCACCTGGTACCTGCGATGTCACGCGCTGTCTCCTCACGGTCTGTGTGGATGGACGTCCCGCGGCGTCCGCGTCTGGGCGGGCCGGGGTAGCGAATGGTTTGTTGTTGCGTGCAATTTGTTGAGACCGTTTCTAGTCGTTGGACGTGCGGTTTGCAGGCCCGTTTCAAGCGGTGTGTGTGAATACGTGGTTGTAAATAAATCACTGGAGCAGCTTTATGCCACGGCTTTGGTGGTTTCAGTTGTGGTTTAGGCCTCGGTCTGCGGGTTGTAACGCCACACACTGCACCCATGTACCACGCCACCCCTCGGCAGACCATGCGCGCTGCGACGGGGCAAAAAGCGTAATTTATGAAGACGGGAACTCCCTCGCCGACGCAGGCTGGTCTTGCCTGTGCTGGGGTCAAGAGAGGAAGTTTGCAAAATTATCTCAAGCTCTTGTGCTGAAAATATCATAAATGCGCTAAAACGCCTCACACGTTTTAGAAGAAAACCCGCAGCAGGCAGAACACACGGTTAAATTGAGCCCTGGCTAAATTCACGAATAGCGGACTCATCTGCGGGACGGATTGAAACATGTCACACTGTAAACCGAGACGATTCTAGTTGGAAATGTTTGAAGTATTGGTCTGAAACAGTATCCATATACTCTTCCGTTAGTGCCCTAATGCTCATCTATTTCCCTCGAGTATTGCTCCGGTATTCGTGCATTATGAGCATAAGATTCCTAGCCGGGCAAAAAATAGCCTCTAACCATGACTCTGCAATTATTCATGATGAAAAAATTCACCATGCTTTTCCAGTGTTTCATATTTCTGATATTTTTCCCAACAATACCCGCAAATGCTGATAATATGCCACCAAAACATATATATATACATATATATATATATATATATATATATATATATATATATAGCCTCTATCCGCATACGGAAGTCACAGACATATGTATATTTCACCAACAGCAGCCAATGAGCTCCTGAAGCAATGCCCGCAACCTCCAGGTCCGCGCATTATTGGGGGTCACAAACAAACCTAGATCATAGATCGTCCTATATGATGAATGGTGGCAAAGCTATACTACCGCGCCTCTGTTGGTAAGGCATCAATGCATCACATTTAAATTCACATAAATATCAATGCTGCATTTGTTTTTCCCACTTTCATGGACATCAGGCTTTCAACACCAGCATTTATGTGCCAGGCCAACACATTATGTATCGTGTATCATATCTTATATTGCATCATATAATTCAAGACATAAGTATATATACATAAAACGTATGTATGTGCATACATAGCAAGCATATATATACATTTATATACCCAGATATATATCCATATATATATATATACACACACATATATATATATATATATATATATATATATATATATATATATATATATTTACATATTCACACCTCACATGTTTAAAGTGAGTTTAAAGGCCTTAAAATGGCGTCGCTATAAGGTGCAGAGAAGCAGGAAATAGCCATGACGATGTCAATTTCGACACAAAATTTTATACAAATGTGGAACAGTTCCTTAAACATAACGAATTGACTTTGAGAAAGGATTTGTACCGGAATGTGAATGTATTTTTTATGCAAATATGCTGCTGATATTTTTAAGTGTCAAATGTAGAAGCCCATTGGCACACATTCGTTTCACCAACTTTTTCTGGTAAGCCTGAAAGGGATTGCATTGTCGGATTGGAATAATAAATTTGGAAAAAAGAGCATTGGTGGACAAATTGAATCTGAACTAGTCGAGAAGGACCGGGCCGGATGGATCTGGACTAGAGAAGGAACTTTTTAGCCCGCCAAACGCCAATTTCTGACCCGTAAGAACCCGTGGGCTTTTGGCTGGGCTATGGCCAGATTTTGGCCGGTTTTTGTAGATTAAAAACTTTTTCATACAAAACTATGCGTTCTCTGCCATCACTTAATTTAAGAAATCATCCTAAAATCGGAGATTGCCGCTAAACAAAAAATTAAGCAAGCATATTTTTTAAAAAAATAGCTCCAGTCACAGAATGCCCATAACAGACGTGACACGTCAGAAAACAAGGTTGCACAAACTGAACAGCTGTAACAAAATGTCTCACTGGAAAATTCAAGAATAGACACCCAACTTTTCCAAATCATAGCCTGATAACATTGAGCAGCGGTTAGGTCGGTACTTTGCATAAATACAGCTGTAAACTGCATTTGGTTGTTATGGTTAGGGTATAATGCACTCAACCTTTTTTGTCTTCCACACAAAAAACCGCATCTCACAAATAGTAATCAACATGCATCAGTAGACAAACCAGGAGAATGGTGATATAGATTCATTGACATTTCGACAACATGTAACTGAAACGAAAAGAGGAATTTAATGTCCTTCTGAATGAATAATTGACCGAGTAGTTGACTGAAATGAATAGTCTGAATGAATGACTGTGCATTCACTTCTGATACTCGTTTAGATAAACTCCTGATTTTTGTCCGAGGAAGAAGGCTATTACTACTGTCTTACGCATGTGAACAATATTTATCGCAAATGCAATTAACAACCTACGTAATATCCATCATTTATGAAATGTATGGAAAACTGTGAGTCCCTCATTGTCACAGCTTTTCTCACTTGTCCATACAGTTAGCAGTTCCTAACGTATCAACTGCGCAAAAGTGGTTGAAACCAAAAAAAGATGGTGGCGAAGACTGAAGAAAGGTGGCGTAGACTTGGTTTATCAAAATCTGAAGAAGTTGCATTCTGCATCATGACTTCAGGGCACTTACACAGTACAGTTTCCGTTGCTACGGTTGTTGCTATTTTTCGACACGTTTGCAATAAAGGCTTTTGTTCGGTATGATCTATTTATTTTTTATTATCTGTATTTGTGTGCGTTTCTGCATGAAAACATCTTTTCAACATATAACGTTAATGAAGCATTCGTTAAGACTGGCAAGTTGCACCCTGCAGGCTTTATACACTGTAATGAGAGCTTCTGGAAATTATTTTTTTGTGACTGCTTGCTTTCATGGAGTTTTTCTGTAGATGCAACAATATTTCATAACTTTGACGGCATTGCTTACTTTAAAGATGTCACTGGAGGGCAGCTATTCGTAGAC